CTAATCTACTGGGATTTTCACGCACAACCATCTCTAGGGTTTACAGAGAATGGTCCGAAAAAGAAAAAACATCCAGTGAGCGGCAGTTCTGTGGGCGGAAATGCCTTGTTGATGCCAGAGGTCAGAGGAGAATGGCCAGACTGGTTCGAGCTGATAGAAGGGCAACAGTGACTGAAATAACCACTCGTTACAACCGAGGTATGCAGCAAAGCATTTGTGAAGCCACAACACGCACAACCTTGAGGCGGATGGGCTACAACAGCAGAAGACTCCACCGGGTACCACTCATCTCCACTACAAATAGGAAAAAGAGGCTACAATTGGCAAGAGCTCACCAAAATTGAACAGTTGAAGACTGGAAAAATGTTGCCTGGTCTGATGAGTCTCGATTTCTGTTGAGACATTCAGATGTTAGAGTCAGAATTTGGCGTAAACAGAATGAGAACATGGAACCATCATGCCTTGTTACCACTGTGCAGGCTGGTGGTGGTGTAATGGTGTGGGGGATGTTTTCCTGGCACACTTTAGGCCCCTTAGTGCCAATTGGGCATCGTTTAAATGCCACGGCCTACCTGAGCATTGTTTCTGACCATGTCCATCCCTTTATGGCCACCATGTACCCATCCTCTGATGGCTACTTCCACCATGTCACAAAGCTCTAATCATTTCAAATTGGTTTCTTGAACATGACAATGAGTTCACTGTACTAAAATGGCCTCCACAGTCACCAGATCTCAACCCAATAGAGCATCTTTGGGATGTGGTGGAACGGGAGATTCGCATCATGGATGTGCAGCCGACAAATCTGCGGCAACTGTGTGATGCCATCATGTCAATATGGACCAAACTCCCTGAGGAATGCTTTCAGCACCTTGTTGAATCTATGCCACGAAGAATTGAGGCAGTTCTGAAGGCAAAAGGGGGTCCAACCCGTTACTAGCATGGGGTACCTAATAAAGTGGCCGGTGAGTGTATATAAACACCAATTTTAAACTGGTTATATTATCATTAAAACCAATGAATTAAACATTATATTATTACTGTAGTTCACAACATGCTGCAACTAAAATCTGTTTTGTACCTTTAACATGGGGGTAAAAAGAAAGAAACATTGATTAATCAGAGTTCATCACAAGTAGCTTATTAATACTAATGCTGTCATGGAGGTGTGCAGGTGAGTGGATCTCCAAATGCAAGAATACTTTAATAAAACACTTAAGGAAACACCAAGAACACCACACATAATATATACACAGACTAGCTTAACAATAAGAGGGTGTGATAAATGGGAAACATCTGGTGAAACTTATCAACATGAAAAAACTACAAAGAACTACAATATATGGCACAAGACAGGCATTAACAAAAGAGTCCAAACACACAGGGAATACATAAGAAATATATAGAAAGTGCATAGTGCCATACAAAAAACACAAGCATAAACACATGATAATATAATTCTATACTCATTTAACAAGTTTTACCATGATACCACATGTAAAGGCTACATATCTGATAAGAAAAAATGGGTATCCATCACTGTAAGCTTATTGTTTTTCATTTTTACATTCAAAATGGTAAAATCTTACATGAAAAATGGTAAAATTACATGAAATGTAAGGTTAGTTTTTAGCTATATTGCATTTAAGTAAACTAAATGTTAACCAATTAGCACGTTTTTCCTGTCACATTTTTACATTCTTTCACAATGCAAATTATAGTTCATTTGAGTATACTGTAACTATATGTTCCTCTCTGCAATTAAACGCCAGTTGTTTGATAGTTTTGCGAGGGAGACATGCCACTCTTTGTCATTTTCCGACACCGCTTTCCTATAGGAAGAAAACAGATTCACAGAAGTAAAATGAAATGAGCGTGATTGATATTACACAGACACAAAGACTCTAATGAATCCGATGAACTGAATCACATTGTCATTTCTGTACTAAAGTGATGCAACATGTTTGAATGCAGTGTCTGATACTTTGTGATTGAAACATCAAACTATTATTCAGGAAGAATTTGGATGTTTCTAAAATGGCTAAAATAAACATCATGGGACTTTGCAGGTGATTCGTATCGTATCCAGTCAACTTCAACTGCCTTAAATAGTCGGTTAATAGATGTTTATGTAATAATGACTGAATGAAACCTCATCACGCATACACACGCAGAAAACACACAACCAGAAAGTCTCACCATATACACATGCAAGCACCAGCAGAACAGCCACAGCAACTCCTATAGTCACGATCAAACCTGTAATGAAAAAGAGAGGCATTATTAATTGAGCTCGACAATAGATTTTTCAGGAAGGCTATTTTTGACTGATTTTCCACCTTCATCATCTTTATGACATATTTATATTTATAAATTGCGCCACCTGGTGTTTTTATCGCCTAAAACTACATTAGAGAGCTCATGGGGAAACTAAATGATACATTATGTTAATTTATAGATAGGCCTCAATGAAAACATAACAACATTGAAATATATTTTAAACATGCTCAAGGGAAAATGAACTGAATGACTGAATTTGACTCACTAGTGACAGTCCCATTAAGGCTGTTTTCACTGATAATGCTGATGCTGCGCTGACGGTGGATGATGATGCTGCCGCTGAAGACCTCAAGATGATAAACTCCAGAGTCTGTGTGTGTGGTGTGTGTGATGGTGAGAGATCCAGTCTGATGATCCAGCTTCAGTCTGTCTCTGAATCTCTCATTACCTTCATTACACTGAACATCTGTACAGATCTTACTCTGATCTGCAGTGATTTCAGCAATACGAGCTTCATTAAAATACCACGTCATCACATCATTTGGATTTTTTACTACACCAGGATCAAAAGTAACAGATTCTCCCTCCTTCACAGACTTGGTCTTCGTTTTATCCGTCTCTGCACCAGGAACATCTGAAACACAAATTAACATGCTGTTTTTTTTTTTTTTTTTTTTACGGTTATAAAAAACAGTATCAGCATGAAACAAGAAAGAACTGAAAACATGCATCTGCTTAGCATGTATAAGATACATTATGCAATATATTATCAGGGGAACTGAATGGAAAAATTTGTAACTACCTTTCCATTAACTCTGATATTCATAACTATGATTGTCACATTTCGCCCCCTAGTGGCAACCACGCAGAACTATGGCTTATCAACATAAATAATGATACAATAATCATACAATTATAACTTATTCCATAATTATTGACAACCACCATTTTACATTTCTTTACATTTTAGTTGAAAATACTGGTAGGCTAATTCTCACCTCTCTCCTTAGGCTAGGCGCATATATTGTTGGAGCTCCACACAGGCCGTATAGCCTACCTAACCCACTCTACATTGAAATGAGTAATTTCTTGTTTACTACACCAAGCTCAACTGCAACAGCCCTGATGCTGTCTACACTGACTGGACGCGAAAAAGGAACCGTTGAAAATCAATTTGTCCGTGTTAAAGGGACAGTTCACGCCAAAAATAAATAAATAAATAAATAAATAATGTCCTTCCATCATTTCCAGAGTGTGGGGGGGGGGGGGGGGGGGGGAAACATGGAAGTCAATGTGTTACATCGACTGTCTGGATATCCACATTCTACAAAATATCTTCTTTTGTGTTCAGCAGAAGAAAGAAACTCATACAGGTTTGCAACAACACGGGGGTGTAAATGACCATTTTCATTTTTAGGCGAACTTTTTATAGTGCAAGCGTTTGGAGTAGCTACTAGACTACGTCAATCTAGACTGTGGCATCAGTTTAATGTCGGGAATGGGTTTGTGTGGCATCCAGTGTAAACAGTATCACTGGTCACGTTGCACATTTGCATTCGGTGTCTAGGTGTTATAGTGCACAACAGAGAGTGAATAGCCTATTCATTGATAATTTATAGTGTATCTATTTCCTTCAAATAGATTACAGTATATAGGCTGATTCTAAAAATCATTAAAATAAAGTAAGAGTTCAGATGTAATGATTCATGATTAATGGTTATTTGTAAACTGTTTTTAATTTTCTATAGCCAATATATATATATATATATATATATATATATATATATATATTCACTTTAATTCTCAAATGCCTTGGCTTTATATGTTTTTATAAACCAACAAAAAGATCAGCAACAACAAGGCAGGCATTAAACACTTATTCCCTGAAAATGTATTACGGCGTTCACAACCACGCATTCTCTTTCTTGACTTTTATTCTGTAAAGCAAAATATGTACAAATTTTGTATTTATAAAACACATTTTACACGTCTTTTTAAAACATCAAATCCTCTGCACTTTAGGTTACTGGTGAATTAAACAGAATTTTATATGAAAATAAAATGCATTAGATGATAAGAGAAGGTCATACAGGAGGAGGAAGGGAGATGGGGTGGTGTGTAACTAAAGAGAGAATAAACCGCTCTGAATGTTAAGGTGAGGCAGACAAGAAAAAGATACCAATCTATTTGCAGCAATAGTTTATTTTCAAAAAAACTAAGATAACTGTGGGAACATAGAAACAGAGGACATAACAGCTTTGCACAACTTACAAAGACAATGCTGGACATCGAACTGAGGGTGTACACAAGAAAATGAGGACACATGCATATGAAGACAACTATGACAACAAACTGGTAACTAACAAAGGAAACAGAAAATGAAACACAAACTAAATGTTCCTGGAACAGAAATAGAAACTGAAACCAAACTTTAGGTCACTGTAACAATAAAACACTGTGATTAAGTGTGTATAACCGTAGTCTTATTAAATGACTCACCATGGACAGTCATACTAAAGATCGTTTCACTGATGGTGTTGCTGCCAATGATCTGAAGTTTATAAACTCCAGAGTGTGTGTTTGTGGTGTTTGTGATGGTCAGAGATCCAGTCTGATGATCCAGCTTCAGTCTGTCTCTGAATCTCTCATTACCTTCATTACAATGAACATCTGTACAGATCTTACTGAGATCTCCATTGATTTGTGCGATGCGAGTGTTATTAAAATACCATTTAATCTTTTCTTGTTGGTTTGTTTTAACATCAGTGTGTAGAGTGACTGAATCTCCCTCCATCACAAACACTGACACTCTGTCTGTATAAACAGCCGATGCACCTGAAGAAGAAATTAACAATTCATTTTCAATCACTTCCAAGAAAGTGGGAATATAGAACAAGCACAGGGTAAAAGTTTAGTTTATACAGTATTTTTTATTAGATTTTTCTATCTATTGAATCAATGTATGTTTGATTATGAGATATTACATAATACATTTGAGTAATAGTGTCACAATTTCAAATTAAACCATTGGCTGAATAAAATACAAAAGGTTCCGGAGGGCGCTAAAAATCCAGAGGGCGCTAAAAATAAAGGAAAATAAATAAAGCTAAAATTCCTTTAAAAAAAGTAAAAATAAACAGATTTAAAAAATATATATATTTTTTAGTCAGAAATCTATCAAATAAACTAGTCTACATAGTAAATAAAAACAAAAATATTCAGGAAGGCCTCGAAAGGAAAACAGCTGAGAATATTGGTTGCGTAAGAGAACGGTGTTTACAGTTGTCGAGGAAATGAAACCAATGAATGCCTTGTACAAAAGCTGGGGGATAGAATTAAGTTATATTACACAGAAACAATACTTCAAATGTTCACCTTTTCAGACTGTGTTTGCTTAAATTCCACGCCCGACATTTTGACATGTTTTTGTGCGTGACTGTAATGCGCCCCCAGCCCGCGCTTGCGTTCCTGTTTCTCTCCGTCTCAAAGTGCGCGCACCCTGCATGATAAGAGCGAGTGATCTCCATCGCGTTTCAATAGCCTTCACTATTAAAAACTTGTTTACGTCTGAAAATAACGTTACCCGCTTTGAATGTTGTTTGTACTTTTAAGGGCGAAAGTGCACCGCTGAAAGGTAACAAAATTGAATTCGATTTAGAAAAATATAGCCCACATAACTTACCAAGTTGGAAAACCCACACTGGGACGAAAATGAAGTTCATCACCGTTTATATGAAAAACGCATGCAGATTTAGAAACTGAAACTGTTCTGCTTCTTTGTTGACGTCGCCATTTTAAAATCGATGTAACGGGGGCGGGGCTGAGCCTATTGTGATATAAACTAACCTTTCTTCAGTAGCACTAAAAGTCATAAGAGATCAAATCTCAACATTATTTTCAATATGGACCATCCGAATCATGCAGTGGTGGGTCGTCATGGCTATCTGACTTGCACTTTAATATATTTTTTTCCATAAATGAGTATTAAATTATTCCTAATAATGGATGGCAAAAGCCGAAGCGTTCCTATGGCAACGCCAGTAAATTGCTTGGAAGAGAAACCCATCGTCGGCAGTAGCCTAATTTACATTTCAACAGGTAAGTTAAGTTGATTCAAAACCAGACGTGGTGGAAATTCAGACATGGTTTAACGCAGATCACTGAGGGACTGATTAACTAATTCAGGAAATAGCAATAAATGAAATGCCTAACCTAAGATGTAACAGTTAGCGCTAGACTACTACCATAATTTTTAAATGAGAATCAGCATAAGTTAATTTATAGTTTAATAAAGGTGTTAATTTAAATTTACCCACATGTTCAAGTTTTAGGTAACTCATAAGCTGAAACAACTACACTCCATCGCGCTAACTGTTAATCGCGAAACACCCATGCTAACCATGTGCTCAGGCATACCAAACTCATGACACACTTTTAATTTAGTAAAACAAAGTGCTTTGAACACACACAACTCATCAGTATTGGATTACCGGTAAACAATGTTTATACTCAAACCCGAAGTGTTTTAGTTACCCGAAAAGAAGTATAAAAAGATTAAAGAAATAAAACGAGCGCTGCAGTGATGGCTTCGTCGTCGTATTTACTCTGAATGAAGTACATCACGGGCACGCGCCGGCTACAAAGGCGTGCGATGACGTCATCACGCTGGTATGCCAAGCGAAAATAATTAATTTAATAAATGCACATAACACTCTTCTTTTTAAACAACGCACACATAAGCATTTAAACAATATTATAAAAATAACATTTACCAATTCTATAATGAATTTGAAAAGTGTTAATAAATAAAATTCACTATATCACACCTACAACTATATAGTCCTGGACCTGGCCTGTAGACCCGTTCGCAATTTGGTGTTGGGGGAATTTCTCACTTGAACTGAGTAAGTGGGTCCCTAGACATGAAAACAGAGGTGCTCGTCCGCCAAAGTGCCACGAATTACGTAATGGTCAAATCAAATATGGCCGCCATCGGATGATGATGAAAATCCAACTTCTTTGTTTCTGAATGTTTATACACGTTATACCTCTATTTTGACTAATTCGGGTATGTTGAATTAATTTCTGGCATTGATAGGGCCATATTGGGTTATTGTGACCTTGAAAGGGCATGGTCAAGGTCGTTTTCCTATTCTGAAGAATCTCAAAAGACATGTACATGCGAACTAACTTAATTTACAGTCTGCCCTTTTACTGTGTATTTGTACAACACTAGACAGAATTTACAGAAAATAAGAGGACAAGGTTTAACTTTTCTTGTATTTTACCAGGAGTATCACAAGACCTCCAAGGTTCCTAAAGTTTTCATCTGACTATTGAGCATCGCACTAATTGATCAACCGTGAGCATTACACGTGTACATCTCAAATTTACTAACTCAAATTTACAGTCTGCCCTTATACTGTGTATTTCTATAGCACTGGACAGAGTTCACAGAAAAAAAATAAGACAATGTTCGACTTTTCTTGTATTTTATAGAGTTCACAGAAAAAAGAAGACAAGGTTTGACTTGTATTTTACCAGAAGTAGTCAAATTTATAAGATTTCCAAGGTTTCTAAAGTTTTCGTCTCACTATTGAGCATCGCACATATTGATCAACATGGAGCATTCTAAAATACCTGGCCCCAAAAGCTTGAATTTGGTTGCTTCAATGGCAGATCAGGACAATCTTAATCAGGAAGAGCTCTACCGGCGCTTCTCTATAGGCCAGTGGGCCAGGATCGCCCTGGCTGGTTCTATGCTGTGGGAGGTGACATGAAGGTCGAGCAGACCATTCAGCGAGTGTCAAAGGGTCCTGGAGGTCACTATGTCGTAGGAGCCACACACAATGCAAATGCTGTAGCAGAGTTTGAGCTCTTTTTCCATGAGATTGGGATGATCACTGATTTCCTCAACTTTCTCACCAACAACTTTGAAACAGACAGAATGCCATCTCCAGCATGCACTGAGCACCACTCGCCGCCTTACATTCAACCAAAATGTTTCAAAGCTGCTGGACTTTGTGCTAGAGCAGCAAAATCCATACTCAGTGACAATCAATGTGCCTGTTCCACTGCACAATCTGCTCACCAAGCAGGCTGTTGACGAGGTGTCGCTCCTCGCTTGCTCAACTGTCTCCAAAATGGGAAGTATGTCTACTGCTCATACAGGCAGGAGAGGTTAGTTGAGAAGACCAAGAAAATTAGCACAACTGTATCAAAGAGAAAACTACCTCAGTTCAATGAACAACCACAGAAGACACCGACAATCAGTATGAAGGAGCAGAAGTTAGTCTCATACAAAAACATTGCCGAGGCACATAGGAGTATGGACATTGCTAAGGAGCGGGGCATGAGTATCCGGCAGATACTTTCTCATGATGTGCTTTCAGCATCTCCCCTGTTTGATGGTGACCTTCCAGCTCATGTCAACAAGTCAAAACTTGTCAGTGAGATTGAGCCTCGACTTGATCTCAACCAATGGATTCCTGAGTCTACTTATGCCACTCATGTTGTGGTAGACTTCATGTCGAAGATGCGACAGATGCCTCTAGCACAATTCCCTACTTTAGGTGCGGTCATCAATGCCATCATCAGCTCAACATCATCCCTCTGCCAAGAGCCGGAGTTCATCCATCTTGTACTAGATTCCTACATCGAGATGTCCCTGAAAGAAGGGGAGCGCATGCGGCGTACAGACTCAACAACAGGCATCGACATCATTGGCATGAACAGACACACACCCATCCCTCAGCAACTTGACAAGTTCTGGGCATCTGAGGAGAACAAACGGAATCTCCAACTGTTAGCTCGGATATGGTATGCAATTGAGCCAGTGCCAATGCAACTGTCATTGTCAGCTCTATTGTCATTGATGATGAGGTGCTACCATCAAAGGCAGCTGGTGGCGAAGAGATCCCAGACCTCTTGAACTGGATTGAGGAGGCTGATGCCAGGTTGCTGGTGCATGTTGAGTGGGCTGTTCGTGTGAAGCAGTGCAAGAGAGTTGTCATAGTCTCCAATGACACAGACACCTTTGCATTGCTTCTCCACTACAGCCCATACTTCCAAGAACTCGGGATGAAAGAGATCTGGCAGCAGTATGGCACTGGTGAGAGACGGTGAATGCTTCCACTCCATCAAGCAGTTTCTCGTCTTGGAGCGTCACTGACAAAGACAGTGATTAAAGCACATATCCTGACTGGAGATGACTGTATGAGCATGGTGGGGACTAAACCTGCTGCTATGGTTTCTGACCAAGTCCAATACTTAGCCAACTATGGAGAGGCAGACACCTTGACAGAGCAAGATGCAGCGTTGGCTGAGAAGTACTTGGTGTGTGTCTGGGCTGGGGCCAGGTCAACAACAGCTAAGACATTTGATGACTTAAGGGTAGAAATCTACACCAGTGGAAGTGCTGGAATTGACGCTCTCCCTCCCACAAGTAGTGGGATCAGAGGCCACATCCAACGAGGGGCTTTTCTGGTTCATACGGCATGCCACTTGCTTGCAACAACCAAGGATGCCAAAGCAAGACTAGAGCCAACGGAACATGGATGGAAGGAGCACTTTGGCACACTCCTGCCATCAAAATGTCTGAAGCCCTTACCACCAAGTCTGCTCACAGTATGTAAGTGTGCAGGCAAGTGTGAAAATCGCCGATGTGGCTGTCGTGCTGCTGGAGTTTCATGTACCATATTCTGCCATGGAAAAATTATCCTGTAAAAACCCATCCCACTAACATGCATGCACACACACAGTACACTTTGAGAGAAATCAGACTATATGGTGCACTTTTAGTTAATTTGGTATGATGTAATTGTATCACTTATTGATACATAGTTTTATTTGCACCCAATTGTTTTATTTTATATCATTGAACTAACACTCAATTAAAATAAAAGTTCAAACGGATGTTTATATTTTTTACATTTCTTCTCTTCATGTCTTGTTATAATAATAAAAAATCATTGTGGAAAAAAATACAATAAAAAGTGACTATTAAAAAAAGAAATCTTAATCGAGTTATTGAAAAATGATGTTGACATTGAAATTTCAATGACAAGATGATCCTTAATGTTAAAAACAATATTAGCAATGAATGTTAAATGTCACATTTAGTAGAATTAGACTTATTGCATCTGTTTTTTATTCCTAATAATGGCCAAGTTATGGATAAGAAGTAGGAGGATGACCTTGACCATGACCTTTTAAGGTAAAAAGTCAGCCAATATGGCCATAACAATATCAGAAATGAATTCCACATACCATAATAAGTCTAAATAGAGGTATTACATGTGTATACACATTCAGAAACCAAGAAGTTGGATTTTCGTCATCATCCGATGGCGGCCATATTTGATTTGACCATTACGTAATTCGTGGCACTATGGCGGATGAGCACCTCAGTGATTTTTTATGTCTAGGGACCCACTTACTCAGCTCAAGTGAGAAATTCCCCCAACACCAAATTGCGAACAGGTCTACAGGCCAGGTACTGGATTAATAGGCCTATATTTTGCTTTTCCTATTTCTTCCATTGACGTTTGATCAGTAGCCTACATGACACTATAAGTTCTGTCTCTTCCTTGTATAATACTTTTACTTCAGGCAGTGACTGGCAATGAGACTGATCTTCAAAAGAGACCTTAAGTTTATTAATATTAGTCTCGAATTTCCCCAGCTGAAGATAATGCTCTGCTATGATTTTGTAGATGGACAGTTTTAAGAATAAACGAAGCAGAGTTGAAGAGAAAGCAGGGTTGGCAGCAGAAAGGTAAACATTGGATGAACCATATAATTTAGGGATCATTAAGATTTCCTCTTATAGTTTTAATATTTTAATCATTGAATAACACAACAAATTTAAGGAGCAAAGGGTTTTGATTTAAATATCTTTTCACAAGAGTTCCTGTCCTGGTCCAGCTGCAGAATAAAGCGGTCTCCTTCTCACTGCTCGATGGTACTGACCCTGTTTATCTGTTGCTTTCTTAGCAGATGCGGTTGGATCGGCTAACTCAGGTCCCAGGTGTTGTGAAGGAGCAAAGTCAGGGTGGTCTGGGTCAGGGTACGGACAACCTGCATAATAAACATAAAGACCATGCATGTGCTCTTAAGTAACTATTTTAATATATAACATTTTTGTCAAGACGGTGACAGCTTTTCTAAGCCATCAGCTGTGTAGCTGTGGGTGTTTCTTTACAGCTGGGCAAACGCTAGCTAGCATTAGCACTGCCAAAACTAGAGCTGACGTTAGGTAGCAGGCTAGCTATTATGTTTTGCTAAAAAGACAACCAAACCAAACATTTTATACATTACCTGTAAGAAAATGTCTTCCACAAACACGATGATGGAGGTTTGGTTCCCAGTCTGCCCCGTTAGAAATGGCTACTCCGCCACCAAGCAGTCTTGCTATCTTCTCTTTAGCACTACTTTTGATGACATCCACTCGCTTTAACCTCCTCACCAACAGGTTCCGCTGGATAAATTAACTTTTTCTGAAGGAAATCGATAAAACCCTACACCTTTTGCTGTATCTGGCACGCAACCCCAAACACAACACGTTTTCGTCATCGTTTCAACTATGATCAACAATGTTTTTAACTATGTAGTTG